AGATAGAGAAGGGATCCGATCATACCTCGATACTTTTACACAAAAATTTTTGTTTTGAGGACCTTGAAAGTCCTCTAATATTCTAGCAAAGGACCTTCATGGAGGAGGAGGGGCATTTCCCTTACCACCTTTCTTCTTCTCAGGTCTCTTCCCAACCATGTCTCCATCTTCATTCCTCTTCTTCTTTTGCAAATCAACACCCTTTCTAACCACCTTGTCAAGAACCAGGCCTCTAGTTTTGGGATTGGGTTCTTTAGCCTTCTCCTTGTTGTTGTTGTTGGAAGAAGAAGGGATCAAGCCCCCTTTAGGTTCAGTGTGTGGATTTTCACCAACAGGTACACAATCCCTAGCTCCAGCCTTCCCATGGGGTTCACTAAGATCCTTTGGCTTGTCCATATCAACCTTGTGTGTAGCCTCCAAAGCTACCAGCTCCTTCTTCCTAGCCAGTTCCAAGGCTTTGCAGTAGAAAGGGCCATGATTCCAGGTTTTGCAATGAAAGCAGTATTTGGGGTCTTCCTCCAACACCACTGTTTGTGTATATGTCTTACCCATACAAGCTACCTCAAAATGAGTCACCGGCTGTTTTGAGAAGTCAACCTCAACAAGCACTCTACAAAATCCACCCTTGCTTTGCTGCTTTGTAACTAGGTCAGTTCTCAATGGTTTACCAACAATTGAGGCCAGCATACCAATTCCTTCTTTAGACCATAGCTGGAGTGGGACATTGTGTAGCTGAACCCAGACAGGTAGAGTGGTGAATTCAGCAAAATCAAACATGAAACCATGAGAAGGAATTTTGAGTCTAAACTCCTTCCCATAAGCTTTGTCCCTTTCCCTACCCAGCACATCCATTCTATCATTATCATTCTCAAATTTCAGTATAACCCAGCCCTTACAATGGGGAATGATTCTACAAGGCACATTCCAGCTTTTGACAATAGCATCCACTGCCTTGAGGCCAGGGAAACATCCAGTAAAGCAGCCCACAAGGCAAAAACCCCACAACTCTTCAACAGGTTTAATAATAGAATCTGGGATGTGAAGAAAACCTTCACCAACATCATATTGCTTCAGAATCATACCTTGGTCAGGGTCCTATTGCCCTTGAAGAGGTCAGCAAACGTAACAGGTTTGGCAGCAACCATCTCTGGTTCAGGCATTTTGTCAAACACCTGGGGGGGTCTCTTGCGCCGAGGTTATCCCAACCTGATCACCTTTGTCTGGGACATCTTCAACATGAGGAGGGGATGTCTCAGACGTGGATGAAGCAGTTGGAGCCTTCTCCTTCTCAAGTAGTTCCATGGCAATGTCCGTATACAGACTAGGTGTCTCCGTAACATCATCTCCACTCCTTTTCTTCGTAGGACTCCTAGGGAGCTTCTTCTTAGCCTTCTTAGCACTCTGGGCTTTTCCAGAACCCATGGGAGCAGAAGCAACTCAGAGAAGCAACGCAGGAAGCATCGGGGAAGACAGTGAACAGTGAAGCGTAAAGGTCAATGCACTCCCTACACAGACGAGGGCATGGCTGAGCAATTCCACCAGTAGAAATGGTCGCCTAGGAGAGGGGAACAAGAATCTACACTCAGAATGGTGAGGCACCAAGAGATGAAGCTCAAAAATGATGGCAATGGTGACAGGCTACTGTAGCACAACGTCGCTAGAGAGAAGTCTCGGCCAAAGTCCCCAAGAGACCCTTAAGAAGGTTATTGCAAAAGAATTTTGCCCAATTGATTTTAATATTGTTCAAAAACACGAAGAGAAGACGAGTGTCCCAAGTAAGTATTTTTGAATGGCTCGACTTACGAGGAGCTAATACTTTCGAAATGAAGTAATGAAGAATTCGAAAATGAGGCTTAAGACCTCCAACGGTTTGGTGTTCACGCGCAAGAACTTCTTCAAGGCACACCTCGGTAATGGTGTCGTAAGAAGAAAAAAATTTGAATTCCTTAGATGTGAATTTGTGGAAATCACATCCTTCAAAAGAAAATTTGAAAACTTCACCGATATCCTTGAGAGTCATCTCTATGTCGGTGCCATTTACGGAGGTTTTGAGGACCCATCCGGTGAAAGTGGGATTTGTATAAAACAACCAAATTAGATTCGGACAATACACAAGAAAAGTCTCACGAACAAAGGAAGTAACACCGAGTCTATCAATGAAAATGGTAGCATCTTTGAATGGTAGATAGGAAAATATGGAATGAAGAACAGATTTGGGTGTTAAAATAGGACGATTCAAAAAATCACTATAGAAAAGACATTTGGAATCACCTCTCGGGAAGACAAATGAAGAGACAAATCTTTCCTCTTGGGTTGTTGATTCACCAATATGAGACTTTGAGCACAAACGTTTACTGCCTCGACGATCCAACATGGTGGCTAGGGTTGGAGCATGAGAAGAATGAGAAACCCTAAGAGAAGTAAAAAAAGCACTTAATCTCAAGTAATCGAGCAAATAAGCAACAATAATCATAAAATTGCAACAATTAACAAATAATTTGGAAGAAATTGAAGACAAGAGGCAAAGAACAAACCTGGGAATGCTGCGTCGCGTTCGTTGTCGAAGAGAGATAGACCAGACGAAGAAAAAATGATAAGAATGAAGAAGAGAGAATATTTATACCATTAGTCAAAATGATCGGTCCAGCCAAATAGATCGATCCACCATGGAAGTGGAGATGTCGCGATTAAGTCCAAGTGATCAATCCTTGTGCTTGGATCGATCCGCCGAATAAGAGCCAGAAACCAAGCAACTCTATGGATCGATCCATTGGAGTGGATCGGTCCACTTATGATTGGGTCTGAATCTGGATTTGAACAAATTTACCCAGGTGATCAGTCCATTTGTTTGGATCGATCTGCCGATTGGTACGTGCGAGAAACAAAAGCCCAGAGGATTGATCCTATAGCCGGGATCGATCCGCCGAAGTTTAACTTGAAAAAGCTTCGGTTTGGGTGATCGATCCAAGTGTGGAGATCGATCCTCTATGTTCCAGTTTTGAAAAAATGCCCTGAAACCCAAAAAAACCCTGCAAAAAAGAATTATTTCGCCTTCGACGCTCAAATTAGTATCATCAATAAAAAGAGTAAATCAGTTCATAGAGATGTCCAAAATACCAAGTTTGTACCGAATGTCGAATAATCTCTCCCTACAAAGGGGTTTTGTGAAAACGTCCGCCAATTGATGTTTCGTTTCAACAAACTCAATTGTGACATCTCCCTTTTGGACATGATATCGTATAAAGTGATGCCTAATTTCTATGTGTTTAGTCCGCGAGTGAAGAACTGGGTTCTTTGTTAGACTAATAGCACTCATATTGTCACATCTAATTGGGATGTGATCAAGTATAAGGCCGAAATCCACTAATTGTTGTTTTAGCCAAAGAATTTGGGCACAACAACTTCCCGCAGCGACATATTCCGCTTCGGTGGTGGAAAGTGCAACACTAATCTACTTTTTACTAAACCACGAGATTAATGAATGACCGAATAAGTGGCAAGTACCGCTGGTACTTTTCCTATCGAGTTTGCATCCTACAAAATCTGAGTCGGAATAGCCAACAAGATGACATGTCGAACCTTTGGGATACCAAAGACCTACGTTCAACGTGCCCGTGAGATATCGCATTATCCTTTTGATCGCAACCAAGTGCGACTCTTTAGGACATGATTGATACCTAGCGCATATACAAACAGAGTACATGATATCCGGTCTACTCGCGGTAAGGTAAAGTAAAGAGCCGATCATAGCTCGGTAGCGTTTGATGTCTACCTCATTACCTTTTTCGTCCTTGTCGAGATAGCAAGAGCTGCTCATTGGTGTGTCAATGGATTTGGATTCGGTAACATTGAATCTTCTAAGCAATTCCCTGCAATATTTTGTTTGACACACGAATGTCCTTTCTTTGCATTGTCTAATTTGCAGCCCAAGGAAGAACTTCAATTCTCCCATCATCGACATTTCAAATTCACTTTGCATCATATTGGAAAAATTCCTACACAAAACTTCGTTAGTAGCACCGAATATGATATCATCTACGTAAACTTGAACCAAAAGGATGTCTTGGTTATCTTTCTTGATGAAAAGAGTAGTGTCGACTTGAGCCTGTTTGAACTCATGGTCCAAAAGAAATTTGCTTAACCGTTCATACCAAGCACGAGGTGCTTGTTTGAGACCGTAAAGCACCTTTTTGAGTTTGAAGACATGTTTAGGAAACTCATAGTCTTCGAAACCCGGGGGTTGTTCGACATACACTTCCTCTTGAATGATACCATTAAGGAATGGACTTTTAACATCCATTTAATAAAGTTTAAAATCCATCATAGATGCAAATGCAAGTAATAAACGAATAGCTTCTAAATGTGCAACCGGTGCATAAGTTTCTTCATAATCAATGCCTTCTTCTTGATTGTAGCCTTTAGCTACAAGCCTAGCTTTGTTTCTAGTCATTACTCCATTTTCATCGAGTTTGTTACGAAACACCCATGGCATTTTGTGCCAATAATGGAATGATCATTAAGTTTAGGCACCAATTCCCAAACATCATTGTGTTTAAATTGGTTAAGCTCTTCTTGCATTGCCATAGACCAATGTTCATCATTAATAGCATCCAAAACGGTTGTTGGTTCAATTTGTGAAACAAAGGCCATGTGATTAATTTTCTTCCTAAGAGAATTACGAGTAGAAACTCCCTGCGTTATGTCACCAATGACATTGTCAATCGGGTGATTTTTCAACGTTCTCCACTCCTTAGGAAGCTCCGTTTGTTCCTGCGTTTTCTCTCCTTCCGGTTCCTTTTCCTTAACGATTTCTTCTTCATCATCATAAGAACCTGCAACAATATCAACAATACCTTTTCTCGCCAAGCGAGCATCAAATTAATCAAAGACAACATGAATAGACTCCTCATCCGACTTAGCATCAAATTTTCCTACGAAGAGAATAACCTAAGAGAATTCCTTCGTCCGACTTAGCATCAAATTTTCCACCAAGTTATCTTTTCCATTATTATGAAAAAAAACTTTACATCCAAAGACATTAAAATAGGAAAGGTTAGGCTTTCTTCCTTTGTAAAGTTCATAAGGCGTTTTCTTGAGTATCGGTCTAATGACCGCTCGGTTTAACACGTAGCACACGGTACTCACGGCATCCACCCAAAAATATTTAGGAAGGTTTTCCTCATCGAGCATAGTTCTAGCCATCTCTTCAAGAGACCTATTTTTCCATTCAACCACGCCATTTTGTTGTGGTGTACGGGGGGCTGAGAAATTATGCTCAATGCCTAATTGTTCACAAACGACATCAAATCCGTCTTGATCAAATTCTCCCCCATGATCACTTCTAATGGATGCAATGTGAGAGTCTTTTTCATTTTGAACAAATTTAATGAATTTCTTAAAAGCATTAAGTGCATAATACTTATGAGGTAGAAAGAGTGTCCATGCAAACCATGAATAGTCATCAACGATAACAAAGCCAAAGTAGCTACCTCCTAAACTCATAGTTCTTGAAGGTCAAAAAAGGTCCATGAGCAAAAGTTGTAATGGCCTAGTCGTAGAAACAACGTTCTTTGACTTAAACGAGGCCTTTACTTGCTTCCCCTTTTGACATGCATCACAAATTAGATTTTTCTCAAACTTAAGTTTAGGAACACCAATTACTAAGTCTTTAGAAACCAACTTCTTAAGATGGTCCATGTTAACGTGAGCTATCCGACGATGCCATAGCCACGTTTCTTTTTCTTTGGTAATGAGGCACTTAGCTAAGATAAACGGGAAATTTTCAAGATCAAACATGTAAATGTTATCTACTCTACTACCACAAAGAATAGTCTTATTGTCACACAAGTGTTCTACAATGCATTTTCTAGAATCAAAGATGACACGGTTACCTCTATCGCACAATTGACTAATGCTAAGAAGATTGTGCTTGAGGCCCTCAACAAGAAGAACGTTCTCAACGGTTGTAGCATTGTCTCTCCCGACGGTGCCACTTCCAATGATCCTTCCTTTGTTGTTATCGCCAAAAACGACATTGCCACCTTTGAAATAGTCTAAGCTCCTAAATTTGGATGCGTCTCCGGTCATGTGCTTGGAGCATCCACTATCGAGATACCAAGAGGTACTCGAAGCCTTCAAGCACACCTACAAAATGATATAAGGGAGACGGTTTAGGTACCCATGTATTGTTGGGTCCTTTTTGGTTAGCATATGTGTGATGTGTGTGCGTTTGTTGGAAATGCCTAATTTTGGTGAAGCACGTGGGTACAATGTGACCTATCTTATTAGAATAGTGGCAAATAACATTTGGATTATTCATCCTATATGGTTGAGTGTAATGAGTTCTAGGTTTGCTAGGATGTGCTCTTCTAGTTTGATTATTTATCCTAGCATTTTATTCCCCCTAGCTTTAACAAAGGTTGTTTTTTTAGGTTGGTTTTTCTTATATCCAATTCCTTCACCATTACTAACTTTTTGCTTAAGTATTTTATCTAAGGTTTTTGAAGCATTATTAAACTTTCCCAATTTGCTCTCTAAACTAGCAACCTTAGCTTTTAGTGATGTACAACTAGAGCATGTAGAAGAAGTAGTTGAAGGTTCTTGTGCCCTTTTTCCAAAAGAGATAATTTCTTGTTTAAGTTTATCAATTATATTTTTGAGTTCTTTTACATCATTCTCAAAAATGAGGATTTTTTGTTTAACTTCATTATTTTCTTTGGAAACCTTTTTGAACATTCCTACAAGTTCTTCTACAATGCAAACAACATCATTAAGAGTTAAAGGATCATTGGGAGAAGGTTCTTGATCACTTACCTCTTTTGACCTTTCTCCATCTTCAATGGCCATGAGACATAGGTTGGCCACTTCCTCCGTTTCCGAGTCTTTGCTCCCGGAGCCATCGTTCTCCCAAGAAATGTAGGCATGTTGCTTCTTCGGTGCCATCTTGTGCTTCTCGTTCTTGAGCTTTGGACACATTGGTTTGATGTGTCCAATTTCACCACACCCATAGCATTTGGGTGTAGTGTTCTTCTTGGTCTCTTCTTGAGCCTCATCTTCTTGAATTTTCAGACAAAGAGTCCGAGGTCGGTGTCATCACTGTCATCATCTTCATCATCGACGTTGTTGTGGGTTGATGTTGTTGCGGGTTGATGTTGTTGCGGGTAGAGCAATAGACCTCTTGTTCCTCTCTTCAACCACCTTTGAGAGTTGGGTGGTTTTGTAGGTAATAAGATCACCTCGAAGAGCCTCATAGGTCGTTGTTTGGAAGTCACGACCTTCTTCGATTGCGTCCACCTTTGAACGCCATTTGGGGGATAGGCTTCCCAGCACTTTTCTCACGAGCTCTCGGTCGGTGTATGTCTTCCCGAGAAGATTGAGAGGATTGATGATGTTATTAGAGAATCTCTCAAACATTTCCTCAATCTTCTCATTTTCCTTCATTGAAAAGAGTTCATACTCGTGAGTGAGATGGTCGATTTTGGCCTCCCGAACCTGCGCGGTTCCTTCGTAGGTGACCTCCAATTTTTCCCACATATGTTTTGCGGTTTCACACCGCGAGATTTTGCGGTAGTCATCCGCGTTAACACCGCAATAAATCATGTCTATTACCTTTGCGTTGAGCTCTATCTTTTTGCAATCTTCGTCGGTGAATTCTTCTTCAGTTTTGGGGACGTTGACTTCACCAACTTTCTTCATCGGGACTCCACACCCGGTCTTGACTATGAACCACAGTTTGTAGTCATTGGATTGGATGAAAATTCTCATCTTTCCTTCCAATAAGAGTAGTTGGTTCTATCGAACAACGGTGGCCTTGTGGTTGATTGTCCCTCGCTAACTCCTGCGTTGAACATTCTAGATGCCATTGATCTTTGAGTTCCTGAAAATAAAGAAGTATTCGAAGAACTTCCTGCTCTGATACCAATTGTTAGAAAAAAGTGCAACTCTAGAGGGGTGAAGAGAGTTGTTCGCTAGAATGTGCGTAAATCGCGTGCGTGATAATTAAAAAAATCGCAGGAAAAATATAAAGAGCAAGGAAAAAGAGTACACCGTGATTTATACTGGTTCACCACCTTGTGGCAAGTCCAGTCCTCCGAGAGACTCTCTCAAAGGTTCTACTAAACTTCAAGCTTAAATGGGTGCTTGAAAAACCGATACAACTCGAGAACTTGAATCGCACAAGCCTCAACTTCTTACAACAAGACTTGAGTCACACAAGCCTTAACAACAACAAGACTTGAATCACACAAGTCTTAGCAATACTCAAAAAGATTGAGTTTACAACACAAGAATGAAAGCTCACACAATTTGAGCAAGAAGTGTTGAAATATGAAAGCTCTATGGATGACAAAATCTTTAACACTCAATAAAAATATTTCTAACTCTCAAAATAATATATTTGATGAGGAAGATGGAAGCAAGAATTGAATATTGATCAATGAAGATATTGGAGTGCAAGAGATGTATTTTTAATGAAGAAGGATGAGTGTGTATATAGAGGAAAAAGAAATAAATCTGTTGGAAGTAGGGAAGAGGTGATTTTGACAGATTTGAGCGTTGGAGATCGATCCAGGGCAGAAGATCGATCGTCTGGAGTAAACTACGGAAAATAAATTTGTGTCAAATGCACGGGGGATCGATCCAAGGCAGGGGATCGATCCTCTGGAACCAAAATTCAGGAGATGGATTTTTGCAAGGTTACAGGGGATCTATCCACACTCAAGGATCGATCCTACGAACAATTAGGAAAAAATATATGATCGATCCATTCACTTGGATCGATCCAGGCTCGGATCACTCTGCATAGGTGATCGATCCAGGAAGGATGATCGATCTCCTAACGAACAATGGCCAAACAAGGAGGACCCAAAGCATGTGTGCGAGTGGGGAGTACAATTGGAGCTTAATGATTTGTTTTAGACAACAATTTGAACATGATAAGGCTCCCATAAACAAACAAATATAATGAGTTGAAAAGAATTAATTCAAATTCAAAATTTGAATTAAATAATGGATTTTTGTGTAGAAATTAAGTCCCAAAAATATTTTGCGAGTCAAACGAAGTACAAGAAAAATCTTTAAAGTATATTTTTCTTACCACAAAAAGTTTGTGTATCCTTAAAAAGTAATTTAAAAATTGACACACTATTTTGAAACTGATTCAGTGAAATGATTTTTGATGACTCGGCTTACTCCCTGCCACCGCACATTCGAATACACTCTGCAATTTGCTTTAGTGCGTAATCTATCTCCCTTCCATTGACCTTTCTTCTTTTTGCCTTCATCATCAATTAATTTCTTAGGCTATTATTGTCGTCCACTCAATTAATTTCTTAGGTGTTGCCTCGAGCTTCCAGATGGAGAAGAACACTGTACGTGGCCCCTCCTCCCTCGCTGGTTACTTCCGTCTCAGAAATCGGTCCTGCTTCATGTCCTTCATCTCAGAATGTAACGCCACGAAATATGACCTAAAATTTATTATAAAACAAAAGTAAATTTTGTTCAATAAAAATATTTTTACGTTTGACCAAAAATAAAGGGATTTTCAAAATAATGACTTTTTGTTAAAAAGTTATTTTTATGGATATGTCTCAAAGAGACGAATCCAACGGTACATTTTATGAACCAATCTGATTTATAGATTTTAAGTTATGTCAATTTTAAATATCAAAATTTGTAACTTTGACACATAAAATAAACTCAATTCAAAAGAGATTTCATAAGATTAGAAATCATAATTTTTGACACTTGACAACATATTTATCATTTGGACTTAATTCATATATTTCTATTTCATTCATATTATTATATTAAATTATGACTGAGACAGACCCGGATACTGAGAAAAATAAAATTTCTCAGAAAAATATTTCGTTTACATCAAAATTCTAGTTTTGACAGTCTGATTCTAAAAATGCAATCCGTTTCCAATTCGGAGCAGTTTGGGCGAAAAAGCGCGTACCGTCTTAGCCAGTTTATCAGTTACGGAGTAGGAGAATATTTTAAAATCCCTACTCAATCACGTATTCAGTCCATGATCTCCACTAGCCACCTCAATCTTCACAAAGTCACCCCAAACTTCCTATCCTACACTAAAAATCAAAAGAAAAAAATATACTATATCACCATCCCCATAATCTCTTATCATCCACACACACAACACTCATCTCTCCTCCCATTCTCTCTCTGTCGGCTGAGCATCAAGAAAGGGGAAAGAAAGTTTTATCTCCATTGTTGTGCCAAGGAAGGAGAGGCAAGCAAGAAACCACCCAAAATTTCTAAATCTTGACTCCAAAAAACGCAACAGCTACTTTGAGGTAGAAACTGAAATTTTCCATCCATTATCTTAAAATACTTCTTGAACAAAAGTTGTAGCCACAGATTCAAACGGATTGCGATTTCGACATTTCGTGAAGAAACGATGGAGATATGCCCAAAATACGGCAGGCTGTCCGATTATGACAGAAATGACAAACCAAATTTCGATGATTGTTTCCACTCCCGCTCATCCGTAAGGTTTTGGCCATTTAATTCCAGGTCTGTACCTTTGCGTTAGACTTGTCGAATCATTCATCACATACGTACATGAACATATATGTTAATCCATTTGTTGAAATCATTCTAAAATATATATGTGATGCATATATAAGCCATCTATGTGTTAAGGCCAAAATACACCAAATTCATAAAGTTAATATATATATATATATATATACATATATATATATATATACATATATATATATATATATATATATATATATATATATATATATATATATATATATATATATACATTTATTTATTTATTTAAAAGGATCTTTATTGATAAGGAAAGGAGTTACACTCTCGAAAGAAAAAATATACACACTAACAATCAGAATGAAGAACAACCCTTTTTTCCTTTTCTCCAAAATTTATCAATCTCCCAAGCCTGAATAAGCTTGCCAATTTGTTGGATAATTGTACGTGGGCTCATTGTGTTTCCATCATAGTTATAGGCGTTGCGCGCTTTCCATAAATTCCATGCGATAATTCCTGGGAGTATAATCTTAAGCGCTCCTTTGAAAGTTTTCAAGTTACCTCTTACCCACCATGAGATTGCATGTTGGCGAAGTAAGAGGTTTGAGCTGAGCATGGGAGCATCAACCAGGCCTGCGAAATAGTTCCATACAGTTTTGCTCTCTTTGCAGTTGAGGAGGCAGTGATCCAAATCTTCTTCAGAGTTAAAGCAGAAACCGCAGCGACTAGGGAGTGCTAGGTGGAACCTTCGAAGGTTTGTAGGGAAAGGAAGGCAGTTGTTGAAGATCTTCCATTGGAATAAACAAAGCTTTGGGATTTGCGCTTTGTGCCAGATAAATTTGGTTGAGAGAAGTGCAGGTAGCTGATCTTCAGTGGCTCTAAATGCTTGCTTGAGAGAGAATTGACCGTTATTCCAGAGGGCATGCCCGTTGTTCCATTGTGTGTGAGAGATGCCCAGAGAATGTATTCTACATATGCGTTTCCAAATTGGGGAATCTGGGAGACGTTCTTTGATGCAGCCATCCTTCATGTATTTTGCTCGAACCAGTTTAGCCCAAGGACTATGATCATGTTGAGCTTTCCACCAAAGTTTAAGAGAGTATGCTGTTTCAATTTGAATCAGGCTCCTAATCCCGAGGCCCCCAACGTTCTTGTTTTGGCAAGTGAAGTTCCAGTTCCTCCAGTGGTATTTAGCCCTGCCATTCCTTTGGCCCCAAAGGAAGTTAGCCATAAGGGAATTGACCGTTTTGATGATGGATTTTGGGAGGGAATGGACGGCAATAAGGTGGAGTGGGATGGAGGAGAGGACATGTTTAATGAGAATAAGTCTTCCCATTTGATTGAGGGTTCTGCTATACCAGGAGGAGAGATGTTTGTATACATAGTCCAAGAGAGAATCACAGTCTTCTTTTTTGAGAATACCTCTACGTAAGGTGGCTCCCAAGTAGGTAAAGGGGAGGCTTCCACACTTCATGGATAGGGCTTTTTCCATCTTGACTTGTTGATCCGCAGTGGTGGATTTTGGAGTGTAGAATCTGCTTTTTGAGAGGTTTATCTGTTGCCCTGATGCCTGCATAAAAACTTTAAGAATTTGGTTAAGTTTAAGAAGGTTGAGGATGTCCCCTTTTGTAAAGATCATCAAGTCATCAGCGTAAATGAGATGGCTGGGCATCCAGACATTTCCCAAATTGAAACGCTTGATAGTGTTGCTCTCCATGGAGTGGTTTAGGTATGGAGTGGTTTAGGTATCTGGAGAAGGCTTCAAAGCCTAGTATGAAAAGAAGTGGAGAGAGGGGATCGCCTTGTTTAACTCCTCTGGTCGTGGGGAAGAAACCGTGAGGTTCACCATTGATGAGGACAGAAATGAAAGAACTCCGGAGGTTTGCCATTAACAGCTTGCTCCCAACTTGTGAGAAACCAAACTTTCTAAGAGTGCCTTCAAGAAAGTTCCAGTTCATACAGTCCAAAGCTTTTGCCATGTCTATTTTGATGATAAGGTTACCCCCAAAAACCTTTCTATCTAGTCCATGTATGGCTTCTTGAGCAAGGAGAATATGGTCATCAATGGACTTACCTTTCTGAAAAGCTCCTTGTTCTGATGAGATGAGTTTGGGTAGCAGCAATATAAGTCTGTTGGCAAGGAGTTTAGTATTAATTTTGCTGAGAAAAGTTGAGAGGGAGATGGGCCTAAAATCATCAAACGTTTTGGTTCTTTCTTAGGAATCAAGGTGATAAGGGTACTGCCATATCCTTTTGGAATTGGGAGGCCGAGAAAGAATTCTTGCGAGGCAGTGAGAACATCCTGTTGGATTATATCTCAACAAACCCTGAAAAAATTACCATTAAAGCCATCCGGGCCACTGGCGCTGTCAGGGTTCAGGTCCCAAACGGTTGCTTTTACCTCAGCCAAATCTGGGAGCTTAGTGAGCAGAAGGTTGTCTTCAATTGAGATGAGAGATGGGATATAGGGCAGAATACTGCCCAAATCAGGAATGTAAGTTGCTGGAGCTTGGAACTGGTTCTGGAAATGTCTGATAGCTTATTGTTTGATCTCATCCATGTTATTGAGCCCCTTGCCATTCCCATCTATGATGTGAGAAATTTGAAGCTTCTTTCTTTTCCCCTTTGCAAAAGCTTGGAAGAGCTTGGTATTAGAGTCTCCCTTGTCTAGCCATCTGATTTGAGCTTTTTGCCTCCAAAATTCCATCTCCATGTTCGTGGCAATGATGAGTGCAGCATTGTCCCTTTGAGCAGCAGTTCTGTTTTCCTCATTTGGGAAGTCCTCGAATTCTTTTTGGCTTTGGTTGGCCCTTGCTTTAGCTTCTTTGAGTTTAGAGTGAATGTTTCCAAAAGTATCTTTATTCCATTTCTTCAGGGTGTGCTTCACAGCATTAAGTTTTTGAAGGAGACCTCTCATCCCTCCAATGGTAGGGGAATTTTCCCAAGTTAGCTTGACAGTATGGAGGAAGTTCTCATGAAGGGTCCAGTGTTTAGAAATCTGAAAGGCTTGGGAGTATTGGGAATCTGGTCATTACAGTGTAGGAGAATGGGTTTGTGATCAGAGTTGGCTTTGGCAAGGTGATGAAGCTCCACATCTTGAAAGAAGGCAAGAAGGTCCAGGTGAATCATTACTCTGTCTAGTCTACGCCAGGTCCTTCCCTGGGAGCGTACACCTGACCATGTGAAGGTACTACCAATGGGATCCAGATTGATGAGTTTGCAGTGGAGGATGCAGGAGTTGAAATCCTCCATACTATGTTGGTTTGGAGGGCAGGTTCCTTTTGACTCATGTGGTGAGGTAACGGCATTAAAATCCCCGCCAACTATACAGCGTTTGTTGGAGGGACAAATAGTAGAAATTTCCTCCCAGAGATCCTTCCTAGCAGAGATCGTGTGGGCGCCGTAAACCCCAGAAATCATAATGGGAGAGTTGTCCATTTGAAGGGTGAAAAGGCAAGTGGTTACTTGAGGGAAATCTGAGTAGGAGATGAGTTTAAAGCATGACTCGTTCCAGAAGATCCATTTCTTATTATTTTGGGATCCAAGACTATGAGAGAAGTTGAGTTTAATACGAAAAGATTCAAGCTGGGAAGGGTTAACCATAGGTTCCAAAATACATAGGTAGTCTAAATTATGTGCTCTCCTTAGGGAAATTAGTCTGTTGAGAGAGGAGGCAGCTCCACAGACATTCCAGAAAAGGAGTTTCATAAAAGCACTTTGGATGGGGGTACATCTTAGGAAGTCTTGCTTCGAGTCATCACCGAGGATGGTGGAATATCTTTTCTGGGTTTGCGGTGTTTAGGGAATGATATGGATTGTTTGGAACAACGTCCAACATCCAAATGGAAGGGAATTGGGGGAGATGTGGTGAAAGGTTTATCATTCTCCCCTCCATCAGAGTGGCAAACATAAGGAATGGGTTCCTCGAAATTGGAGCTGCTATCTGACTTGGTTTCCCAATTTGGTTGAAGTTGATCATTAATCCAGCAATCATCTTTGCTACCTGGCCTGGGTGGTTCTTCGTTTGTTGGAGGAAAAACTCCCACTGGGTAAGAGTCTTCCTGGAAGGGGTTAAACGGGATAATATCCATGCAAGGTTGGGGTTTGGGAACATTGAGGAAAGAAAGGTCAAGAAGAGATTCTGATTTATGGGCCTGTGGGGTGGGCATGGAGGGAATGGACTTACTTGTGAAGGGTGGGGGGCAATTGGTATCCTCTTCTAGTACATCTTCCACCATAGGCATCAGGTCTTCCCAATGAACCTGTTTTGGCGTACGGTTGGTTGATGGCTCACTGTTTTGGACGTGAGTGTTTGAAAACCTGCAGATGCCCACTGGTCCTTTACTCTTGTTTCTTTTGTCCTGGTGTTGTTGGTGTATTGGTTTGTATCTGAAAGCCCCATGCACTTCATAATGGTTTGATGAGGGACCCACCATTACTCTTTCTCCAGTCTTGTTGTGTCGTTTGCTAGAGACCATTTTCCAATCATGTTGAATATCCTGAAAGGCAGACGCTCTCATATGGCCCACCTCCTTGGCCGGAGCAATGCCAGGGAGGTTCTCCGGCGTTTTTTTCTGGCAAGATTGAAGGTTGTGCCCAAACCTGTGACATACTGAGCAGTACTGAGGAGGGTTTTCAAATCTGCAGGGTAGCCAGAGATCTTTAGTTCCAAGCCTGAGATGAATATGAGAAGGAAAGGGGATGGACAAGTCTCTCTCCACGCAGACCCTAATCTGGTTGGGTTTAACTCCAATGACTAAATTGGAGTCCAGTTTGATTGGTTTCCCAAGAGCAGAAGCTATTGAGAAGATTGCTTTGTGATCATTGAGGTGAATGGGGAAGTTCTTCATCTCAACCCAGAGAGGGAAGAGGGGTGAGTCTGCAAAGGGTTCATGCTCCGGCGTCCACTGTCAGCCAAACGGTCGACCGCCGGTGGCTGACGGTCGACCGTCGCCCGTCCATCCGAAATCCGCCATATGCAGCCAGTCAACAACGGTCGACCGCCGGTCAACCACGGTCGACCGTCACGGTGATTTCTCCAACCCGACGCGATGAAGCTCAAGGTCGACCGTCGCACCAAACGGTCGACCGTTCCGAGCCCCGTAGCTTGATTAAATGATATTTTTATCAGATTTCATCCAAATAAAATAAAGTATATTTATCCAATCATGTTGTTTACAAATTGTTCATATCTTGTCATTCATTTCATCATTTATATTGAGCATATCACAACATGTGCATGCGTAATTGCGTCTCTTATAGCCATATCACATCATATGCATGCGAAAGAGATCATGCGTAATTGCGTCTCTTGTAGCGTGATGTGCGGGACTTATTAGTCTGACATCACCCATTCCGGGCTTAGTGTGCGTACATGGTATTCAGGCTTCGAGTACCACCCCCATTTTGTCTGCGTGAGTTCGTCGTACGAAATGGGCGAATCTCATAGCGCAAGGGTGTCCTTGCTCGTTAGAATCATGCATCATGTTATCATCATCAAGTACATCATGTAATTTTCATTAAATATTTATCATCATGATTCATCAAATCGTCCATATGATATAATGTGTCATATCATGAATATTATTATACATTTTATGGACATATATATATATATGTATATGTATATGTCTGTGAATCATCCTACAATTCTAGCACGGTACCACTCAGCGGTTTCGCTGAGCATGTAGTTTGTATTTTTCGTTGACTACACGTAGGTAACAAGAAGACAATGATGGAACCATTCTCGGAGGGCATTCAGTCAAAGGAGATGCAAGGATGGCAGGCAAATGTTTGATCATCAAATTTTAAAAGTGATTTGATTATTATTGTACTTCCACATTACTCTGAAAATATTTTTAAATGGGTCGCGATCCAGAGTCTGTAAATTTGATATTTATAAGCAATTGTCATTTTCAAATGTCAAGCGAAATTTTTATTTAACCCTTGTTTCACCTTAATTCGTGTAATTCCGAGTTATACGGATTGGGGTGTTACACAGAAATTAGCCCGTTGTGCATCCCTCTCTCCTATTGAAGTCGTCCGTCTTCGATTGAAGATGCCTTTGTCTGGTTCCGTCTCCAGCTCCCCGATCAAAGAAAAGACTCAGCGGTCAGGTCCGAGATTCTACCTTTCTACAACTCCATCTCAACGTCCAAGTATTATCTTTCTATCTGAAGACTTCCAACATATCACTGGCTTTTGCTATTTTTTGTATTATTGTCTGAATTGCAAAATGCAAGAATCAAGATTGCACCCTATTTTTTCCTAATTTATGATTTATGCAGCCCCTATTTTATCTAATTGAATCTGACTTGATGATATGAGTTACTTTTCCAATTGTGCAAGTGTCATATTATGATTGATTGATTGCGAGGAAGTGAGGTGTGAACTATTAAAGGGGCTCCCCATTGTGTTGTATTTATGCTTCTTACTACCTCCGTCCCATTGTTTTTGTCCACATTTGACTTTTGAAACTGTTCATCTAAGCACTTTGACTCATCAAATTCTCTTAATGTGTAAGCCTACAAATAGTCACGTGTGATCTTGTTTGATTTGTCTTAACATATAAATTATTAATATATAATTTGTATAATTTTTTAATATACAAATTACAAGATAAAATGGATTAAAGAAGTGCATTGGATGATGTGTCAAAAGGTAAGTGGAGAAACACAGTGGGACGAGGGAGTATTTTTTAAATCATCTACTTTATTTTTAAATGCTGACACACTGGTCGCATAAATAGAGAAGTAAGAAGAAATCAATGACACGTGTGGAGGACAAATGGATGTTCAAAGAGGCCATTGTAGCTAATATGAAAAGCATCTTCAAGACTTTTCATCTTAAGGTATAATTAAATTTCCAGACACAAAAGTCGGCGTCCTCCCTCTTGAGAAATAATATTAATTTGCTACTATTGTCTTTAAACTTTTTCTTATTCTGCTACAAAATCGTGGGTCGATTTTGTAAACTTTTTCTATTGTAAATTTTAAAACAAATTTTAAACTTTTAGTTTAGCTCTTACAACGAATTCTAGGGCTGGACGTGCATTTTAGGAGTTTAAATAGATGATGAAGCTTCGCAGAGGTAGTTCTTAATGTTCAACTTTTTGCTAAGAAGAGTGCTACTGTGAGTTGATTGTGGCAATAACACTAGTACAAAAATGGCCAAATAAATCGCCTCATTTGCATCGTTAAGCTAAACAAACGATGTAAATGCAAAAAAAAATTCGCGTATCGCTTAGCTTTTGGATCGGTTATCCGTAATAACCGATGCAAAAAGTATTTGAATCGGTTATCACGGATAACCGATTTAAAAGCTGACAATCTTTTGGATCGGTTATTCCTTATAACCGATTTAAATACCTTTTGAATCGGTTATTAGTAATAACCGATCCAAAAGAGTGTGATAAAATTAGCCAACCCTACCTTATCCTTACGCGTTTTTGAAAAAAAACCTCCAATTCCGTTCTTCGTCTTCGTCGTGCTCGCCGTTGCTTAGCCAAGCCGTCGCTGTTCGCGTCGCCATTGCTCAGCTTCGTTGCCTTTGTTCTTCAACTCCCCACCACGCTGTCGCCTTTCCCATGTCGCCCCCAAATCTGGTCTAATTGCACCGCCCTCGTCCACCTCACCCTCGACGTTCGCCATTGTTAGTGTCGCTGTCTCAAAGGGAACGGCGACAACGTCGACGACCACCTCACCCTGCCTCCGTCGCCAAGCCGCCGTCGCCAAGCCGTATTTGCTGCCCCGCCGTCGCCAAGCCGTCGTCCCTTCCTTAAGGTATTTTTTTTAGCTTTAAATATTTAATTATACTATTATTTGTTTATATATTTTTGCATTAAGTTAATATTTAATTTACTATATATGTTTTGTGTACATGTTTAAGTTGAAATGTTTCATTGTGATATACATTGTTTTTCAAAAATAGATTGTTTAATTATTTTGTGTTTGATTCTACATGTTCTGAGACATTATAATATAGAAATAACATATATTGACCGACCTAGATACCTGTTTAAAATTTACTCATTAGAAGTAAATTTTAAATAGCTCCCAGTTTGGAGCTGTTCTTGAAATGCTTCTCTCACTTAGGTTGTACATGTATTTCTTTCTCTTTGTTCCATCATATGTATATATATATATATATATATGTATATATGTGTATATATATATATATATATATATATATATATATTTTATTTAAACATATTTTTATTAATAGGAGAAAGAGAAGAGATACAAGGCAGATTGAGTACTGCCCCCCAGCACACTAGTTTGGGGTACAATTCCAATCGAACATGGATGTTAAAGTAAATGTAAAGAGAAAGTAGCCAAAACATGTAGGCCAAAATGCAAAAATGTATAGAGCATGTGAAAGGTGCTGGACGTCCTAGAGGAGACAAACGCTAACAGCCAAAAAAACAAATACAGCATGCATTCCATATTTCCATAGCTGGACAGTTTCATTTGCTACCTTCCAAATCGCATCCAAGAAAAGCTTCATCAAACAAGTGTAAGATGCTGGATAGGGTCCGATGCATCTATTACAATCTCATTCCAATCAAGAAGTTGTTGGAGATGCTGGGATTGAAGAAAATCCTGAATACCCTTCAATACTATTGTTGAAGGCTTAGATGAACCAAAAAACTCATATCGAATCCCAACCAAAACAAGAATTAGATATTGACAACCACTAGAAAAGAGCTAAATGCCATATGCACGGGCATACCCAAAACATCAAGAAATGTTATAGGCCATATCCAAACTACAAGGAAATGAGAAAATAATCAACTGATATCAACCGAGCTCGATATGTGTTAATCAAC